TGTAACACTTGCACTAACCTAAAAACAAGCTTGGGTGCCACACATTATTTATCTCATTACCCTTCCCATTAAGGAAAATATTGAAAGGTAATAATTTATGTGATTCTTAATTAGACAATCACTAATTAGGGGCAAAGTTGCTGACCTTTTCCAATCTTATAGACTCCCCGAGCTTGGGAGGCCAATGGCCAGTTACAACGACGATGTCTTCCGCTTTGACGAGGAACTGCTTGCCCATTACGTGCACCACGGCGAACAGACGGCCTGCCCGGCCTTCTTCCAGCTGCTTGTTTACTGCCGTCGTCACCGCTGCAAAACACAACACATTCTTGAAAAATTCACATAATTACTACAGAACAAAACACAATTTATTGGGAAATCATTTGATTAGTGCCAAATCAAACAGAATTTCTTCCAAAATTCATACAATTATCACAAGTATATTGATGGTCACTGCTTTACTTTATTAACAGAAAAAAAAACAGGTGTAAAATATTTGAAACATTAATGATGAGGATAAGTTCTCTGAGCACCAGATGCCCAAGAAGGCTGATGCTAAAAAAAATTCAACAAGTTCTCTGATGATCATAACTGTGGGTGACAGTTCTATGCTCCGTGCGGTATCTAAGGTGTGTAATATACAACTGTCTAGTCAAATGATTTTGGGGCACTCAGCTCCTGAATCAAATTCCAGTATCCAGCAATTCTCTCAAAAAATAATAAATGCTGAACCATTTCAGTTTCAATGTGGAGACTGGAGAGTAGGATATGTTCTATTTCTCTCAGATAAATGATAGGCACATTTGTTCATGATGATGAAGAGAAATAGAGAATCAAGGCAAGCATAAAACACAAATTCCATTCTTTTAGAAACCAGAATGACTTGGGATGCTTTAAATAATCTGTCTCCATACCAGATACCAACTTGTTAGCCAAGTACAAGCTATACTATATGGAGATGAACAATAAGTACTTGAAATTTGTCTATACTTGAATTAAATCATGAAGATATCTGTTATAACACCTTATAAAATATTTTTCAGGATTGATCAATTGTACTTTGCCAACAATTTTGTATAGGAACTGTACCACAAATAGGTTGGCAAAAATAAAGCTAGTGATAAATAAAGAATGAATCTGTAAAAAAATAAGAGATGAACAGCTATGGTGATATAAATTATAAATTAAATGGGAAATAAATGTATCTTTTAGGATTTTGCACACACTTGTCTGAACAGAAATTTTCAGAATTAGCCATTCAAGTATAAGATTTTGAAGTCAACCTTATATATATTTCATTTTTAAATTTTGTTGTGTGGCATTAAATTTTTTTGATTAACAAATTTGAACAACAGGTATTCCAACATTCATATTATTAGCTAACATGGTAACACACCTGGAGATAACTGTTCATGTTTCTGCCATCCTTCTTCAGTTGAGGGAATTTCTCTCAAGTTCCACGAGCGTTGAACGGGACGGAATTTGTGAGGTTGTGGAGAAGGAGATGCAGTTTTTCTGGCTTGTTTAATTTTAATATTAGGCACAAACTGATCAATGTAAGGCCGGTCTCTCTTAGGAGGTACATTGCCTTGAAATGGAGGAGGCATGACTGCTGCTGTAGCAGATAATGACAACAGTCGATGTTGGCACAGGCATGGTAATTGCATGCATGATGCCAATCTTGGAATAAGCATATTCATTCTGAAATTTTAATTTCACAAGAAAAAAGATTGATTTATTCAACAACTTCTTAATGTTTAGGAATCTGTTAGCCCATGCCTGCTCTTTTGTTAATAATTAGATAAGCAGTAATTAATCTAGCGGAAACCTTGTGGTTCCAAATATGGCAGGCAAACTCTGGTCATGGCATGATACAGACATGGAATATATCTACTTGGCAAGCCATGACTGAATTTTTTGAGCTGTGATTTTATGGATTTAACAGCTATGATTTCATTTCTTCGAGCTGTGATTCCATACGTTTGTGCCGTGAATTCCATATCTCGGTGATGAAAAGCCATTTTTGAGCCGCAAACTTATTTACAAAGTCCATGCACGTGTTACCCCAAATCTATAATTTTACCCTAAAAACAGCAAAACTAACATTTGTCTTCACTTAAGTGGCAACTGAACACATGATAATGAACTCTGACCGCTCTGATGTGACTGCAGCTATGCAATCTTCAAGGAAAAATTTTGGGTTGACCAGTTATTTTGTTCTGCAGGATATTTTGGAAGGAGCATTGAAGTACTGTGGATTGTGCCATCATTGTGGAAGTTGAAAATTTTATGAAACGACATGTTTGCAAAGTGCAAACTGCATTTTTTTTTTTTTCAACCAAACAAAAATGCATGACATTAGAGCCTTGAGATTTCACACCTACTGAAATTATATGATATTAGAGCTGTGATTTTCCAGAAATAGTATAGTGCCGTGATATTATTGTGAGTGTCATGATATTATTGTGAGTGTTGTGATATTATTGTGAGTGTCGTGATATTATTGTGAGTGTCTATATATGACTTTTCCAGCCCTGGCTTGTTAGGAAAATGTTTTTTTTGCACTAGCAGCCAAGGACTTCATTTGGCTTATTTACACACTACCGAAAATATTTTTCTAGTCTTGAATACATTGGGATCAGAAACTTAATAAGGAGTCTTCCAATCAGGTTCTTAGCTAAAGAACTTAGGAAGATCTGCCATCATTGTATCATGATGTGTTGGTGTTTAGGGCTGGAAAAGTCCTATTTTTTTCTGAAATATTGTGGCTCTAATATCAAATAATTTCAATAGGCAGGAAATCTTGCAGCTCTAATGTCATGTATTTTGGTTTGATTGAAAAAATTGCGGTATGCACTCCAAATTTCCAACTTCCACAATCCACACTATTTCAACAATCCCGCCAAAATTTTCTGCACAACAAAACAACAACAAGTCAAACTGAAATGTTTCCTTATAGATTGCGTACGCTTCTACAGAATCTCATGCTTGAGCTGTAGGAGCTCTATTTGAGATTTACATGGGTATTTTATGACATTATGAAAAACTTATAAGAATGAATACAAACACTAGTACTATTGTATGGTTTTAAAATAAATTCATTTCTTGGTGGTTGCAGTCATGTCAAAGCGGTCAGACTGCATTATCACGTGATCAGTTGCCACTCAAGTGAGAACAAATGTTAGCGTTGACTGTTTTTAGGGTAAAATTAGAGATTAGGGGTAACACTGCAAGAGACTTAGTAAAAAGTTCATGGCTGCCAGCTCTTAAATTGCTTTTAATGGCTGCCAGGCTGAGATATGGAATTCACAAAGAAATTGAATCAGGGTTCAAAGAAATTGAATCACAGCAGGAAAATCCATAAAACCACGGCTCCAAAAATTCAGTCACTGCTTGCCAAGTAGATATACATGTATTCCATCATTTTCCATGCCTGTTGGTGTTTAGGATCATAATAATGCCAATTTGGATTTTGGAATATTGAAAAATTTCTACAAAATTGCAGGTAAAAACAATTATTCCCTAAATTGTGAAAAAGTGATCTTCAAGTTTGAGCACCAAAATACATATACACCCAAGCCTAAATTTTGAGATGTGTTTTGAATAACAAAATTTTTGTTTAATAGACCTGAAGCAAATAAACTCATAGACACACTCATGACTCATCTTTAGTCAATCTGACACTTTGCTCACTCATACTGATACTGTAATTGTAGCCTAATTAGAACTACCTAGGGTAAACGCGGTATATTCCGACATTGTGGGTAATTCCGTCACCTCTCTAGTTTTTCCTTTATATTAAGCTTTGTTTGAGTTCCATGCGTTCGTTGATGGTTGAAATGGTGACGTCATACATTTGCGCGTCGAACTACTGCTAAAACACTAGGTCTTGGCCATCTAGCGAGAAAATATTGAGATCCAATAAGAGACAATGCACGCTACCCAGTGAGATCATCGAAAAATGTGTCAAATTTGACAGTTGACCTTGCTCTACCAAATAGTGATTAACTGTTTGCATAGGAACAATATTATGCTTTGAGACTTTTAAATACGTCTGTGAATATATTAGGAATCCTTTAAGTATACTTGTATTTGCTGATTTCAAGTGGTAAATAAATTAATAGATGATTAAGTTGAGAAATGGATTTAGACACATGAAAACTAATTCCGTCACAACTTGAATTGGAAACACACAGATCGTTCCAAGCTGTGTACAAAAATTAAAATTTGCTTAATTAAAAGCTTAATAGTTGTTAATTAAAAGCGCAATTAAGTAGTGTTCAATATTCATTAGTGTTCTAATTCAAAGCCGTGTTCAACGTGTTGTATTCCAATACAGCTCACACAGTGAACGGAATTCAAACATGTGGATGACGGCATTACGTATCGGTAGAATTTGAAGCATGGACGGAATACGCCTCACCACGTGCCTAATATAGCCACGCACACACAGTGACGGAATATAGGGCTTTGGTAGGTTTGTACCGTCAACCGGGGTAACTCGGGACTGGCGGGGTAATTCGGGACAGTCCTCCGACACGGCGTAAAACTGTTATAGTAGCAAAACTAATTGGAATATTGCAAAACTAAAAATAGTGGCGTAAACATCAACATTTTTCCTATCTATGTAGTATAAAGGCTGTCTCTTATACACATCTAGATGTGTATAAGAGACAGGTNAGCGGGTCATCTCAGCAACTGCAGTCCCAATAGCGGGTCATCCCAGCAACTGTAGTCCCAATAGCGGGTCATCCCAGCAACTGTAGTCCCAATAGCGGGTCATCCCAGCAACTGCAGCCCCACTAGCTGGTCATCCCAGCAACTGTAGTCCCAATAGCGGGTCATCCCAGCAACTGCAGCCCCACTAGCTGGTCATCCCAGCAACTGCAGCCCAACTAGCTGGTCATCCCAGCAACTGTAGTCCCGATAGCGATGTTAATTCCTCTGACTAAGTCCATAAGCGATGGAGTTGCACGATTAACCTCGTATTTTTGCTCTCAACATGTCTGTGGCGATGAGGGTTGTTTCGATCAACTTCCACAGCAATCAGGCGCAAAGTCTGGCCAAGATTCAGCTTACAAGCGCAGCGTATTGACATGTAGGAACTCGTCCAAGCTCTCCTACATGTACAGCTTTTATTTATTTAGAGACACATTATTTGTATGACGTATAAAATACTGTTTACCCATCAGTTGTGCAAGTGTATATTGCTACAAAGAATAAAACTTCCCGCTAGTGAAGAGTTCTAGACCCATAATTAAAATTTTAATGTGTATCACAGTACCATCCTTGCTGCGATGAAATAGAACGAACTTTCAGCTGACCGCAACGCGTAACTAACCAATATTACCATAATTTTTGAGAAGTTCGTGTGTTTCTCAGTCATGAATAATAGTCCTGTCTCTTATACACATCTAGATGTGTATAAGAGACAGACCTGGCAGAGCACTGTATCGAAGGAAAGCATTCCACCTTGGGTGGAAAGCTTTTTTATAAGTGAACCTCCATTTCTAGAATTCCACCCTGCAGTTTACTGGTCTACTTATAGGACTCAAAAATGAACTTGAGGGAGAGTCTAAAAAACTCTCTGCTTTGCCACTATGCTCGATGCGTCCTTAATGTGACGGAATATACCGCGTTTAGCCCACATAAAATTTGATGTTCATTACTTTTACTAGTTTTAGCTTCACAAAATCAGTTCAAACTGAATGTCCAGAAAACAGCTTTAAAGAAAGTGTAACCCAAAATAATATTAAAATTGCATTTCCTATCCAAAGAAAATTTCAATTAAAATTAGCTAGTGCAAAGACAAAGACACAAATACCTCATGTGAAATTGTAAAATTAGTTCAATTACTGGTACTTCAATTTTCAATGCTTGGTTATGGCCATTATGCTCCAAACTCCAAGAACGACCTGTGAATCTGTGGCTGAGCTAGTTTGCAGCTTGGGATTCAATCATTCATTCACTGAATCGTCTGAATGATTCATTGGAGCACTCAGCAGTGAGTCAGCACTCAGCAGTGAGCAGTCAGCACTCAGCAGTGAGTCAGCACAGCAGGCAAGGCTGGCAACTTGGCAAGCAGGTGTCACCGACTCACTGTACAAGCAGCCAAATTGAGGCATGATGATTGATGCCCTGGTTGAGCTGGTTCTAGACCCAGAGACAAAACTGGTTAGGTAGTTGTTACTGTTAGCATAGCCTGGTGATAGCCATAGAGTTGTTAGCGCTAAAGAATAGTTTGTTTAAATTATGGTTGAAATAGGCAAAGCGGGTAAAATAGACTAAAGGTTCTTTAGGTTCGCATACGCCATACTATGAGTGTGACATAGTCTGATAGTTATTAGGTACATAACTCACATTGCCTACGGCCTACGGGGTGACGGCACGACCTACGGCAGTCGATTTACTCGGTACGGGTTAACACTATATTGTCAATAGCATGTTAACCATGTTTTGATTGGTTGTTAACTTATAGTCGTATTATACGCGTATATAGCTCGGAAGTAATTTTTCTTGCTTGATCGCTTTGATGATAAGTGGAGCTTCTGAAACGCGATCATGTAGGTAGCCCCACGTCCGACAGACTGACGTCTCAACGTCTGTAAGGGGATTCCGTTTCCGTCGTTGCAGCAGTCTCAACAATGCGCTCCAGAATCCACATATTATTGCGGAACCTGCTCCCACATAGCGATCCCTGAATTAATATTCGTTTATCACATCAACCATGGTTGACCTAGTATATAGTTGAACCATGACATAAACAATCATTTTTCATTGTATTTATCACACCCATGTAACTAAATCAAATTGCAGCTCAAAATTTTCTGTCGAAAAAATGAAAGTTCAGAGTACCAAGATTGGCGCAGAGAGACGCGGGTTCAAAAATCCTAGGAGGAGATAGATTTCTACAGTACCCCCTTTTTTGGCCGTTTTCTATGAATTTCACGTTTTCTTTCATTTTTTTCGAAAAATTCACACGAACAAAAAAATCTTAGATTTCGGTTTTACATATGTGTACCAAGTGTCAGAGTGATCCGTCTGTAAATAGCCGAGATAATTTTTAGGGTAGACGCTCCCCTTAAGAATCGGCGACAGGCCTACGGCCTAATAACGCTGAAACCTCTAATATTATTATTATAACTCATCGACTTACACGGAATGGCCTAATTGAAAAGGATTTAAAAAAATCAATATTACGTACAAAAATTAGGATCAGTAACTAAATCTGATTTCGTGGTTTGATTAATACATAATTTGGCAACATCAGACGTAATAAACAAAAATGCAGCTTGCACGACAATTTCAGAGAGTTAAATGATCTCGGTGATCTCGCAAATCTATTTTGTGAGTGACAATTTTTTTTTAAGTCAGTATTAAAAGATAACACTAGGATTCCAGATTCAATTGGATAATGTGGATTGGATTTCTCTCCAAGTATTATGGCTGAAATACATTCTCTAAACTATTAGAAGGGTGAAAACTACATGCCTCGTATGCCGGTAAACGTAATACTCAAAATAAAACTTAATAAATTTCAGGCAATATTTAACAATTTTAATAATTGGAACGGACTTAACAAATCCAAGCCGCAAACGCTGCTCGTTATCAATTGCAGTGCATCTTGATGACGTAGGCAGGCAAAGAAAACAATATCGACAATATAAAGATGCAAAGGATAATTTTAAGACATCAAATGTGAATAAAACGTGAAAATACTAAAACTTTCAGATCATTCAGATAACATATAATATCCACACAGTTACTCATCTTATTCATATGTAATACTAAGTGTAGTCGTAACACAGACGATACTAGTCAAAGCATGATGAAGTGGTACCCTAAGCGGCAAATTGCGATTTTAATTGCAGTTGCAGGCAATTTTTCAGCAAAGCTAAACATTTCTTTAATGAAAACGAATAAATATAATACTAGATACAAGTTCTATCATCTTACTTACGACAAGGCACTCTAATAAAGCACACACCATATTTGGTATTTTAACAGGATAAATATAATAAAAAATACCTTAGCATGATCACAAATAGCTGAACTAAATAATATAAAATCATTCAGAAGTCCACATTAATGTTCCAAGAGACCGGACATGAAAAAGTGTCCAGTTTGAACAGTCATGAGAAAAAATAAGAGGAAGGATAATTTACAATTCCATTAATTTTAAACGGGGCGATATACAATAACAAAACAGGTCATAAATGATTTAAGAGCAAGACATGGTGCATAATTTGGAGGCATTGACATGATGGAGCGCAAATGAGCTTTTATTGTTCAAATGAAAGAGAAGTTTGACACTGTAATCAAGAGAGTGTTGCCACTGTATGTAAGTGCTAAAATTTGATACAAAATTCCATTAGAATAGAAACAACCTTATTACGACTCTCTCTTTCAAATCTCCAACAAAGTATTAATAGGAATTAGAAATTATTTTAAGAGAGCGCTTACAAACTCACTGGTAAATTCACCAATTTTGACGCTACGTCGAAACAAAGCAAGTGGTTGCTGTGCAGCGAGTAGTTAACAGATAGACACGCATGTATCGTTGTAAAATAAAGCACAACTTGGAAGCAACTGTAACTAGTTTTTATTTAAAGGGAGGGGATGGCTGAGCCTCCTTAGATTTAGGATCATATTTAATCTAATAATGACTTGTTGCATGATAATTTATTTAAACTTATATTCAGGCAATATTATATTGTATTTGTTAGTATTTTTCAATAATAATAATTTGACAAAATTAACATAAATTTATCTAGATTGGCTTCAGCCCCTATAATAAGCTTGATAACGCCACTGTCTGCTTGATAAGGCCAATAATCTGAAGCTGTTCAACCAAAAATATGCAAAAGTTTTTAAATTCCATCAGCCAATCAAGGACAGCTTCTCCCCACCAATCACAAACGAGAAATCGACCACTGCATGTGCTTAAGCAAATTTCGATATTGCGGCCTCAAGGCTTCAGCAATTTTTGGTACAGTTATAACAATTGTTACGTAGAATGTAATACTGCAGGCATTTCTGTTCCTGCATCAACATTAGCAAGTTGAACGCAATAATAAACGTTCCTTCATACGCAGCATATGCTAAATAGTGAATGTAATACTAGAGGTATTTACTGTTGCACCAAAGGCACTGTTGGGCTTCGCTCAATACTCTAGATATTTATTGCCGTAGCAAGAAATACCGAGAAGATTTACGCGATATTAATATCGATGTCAATAAATATCAACAAGTATAAATTGAATTACGTTTTGCAGTTGGGATTCCCCAAGCAATCATGCTAAACAGGACACGGGCTCGTATTAACCCACAGTCAACATTCAATACAGGGCAATTTGAAGAGGCAATTTAATCACGATATTTGCAGCAATAAATAAGTCTGATGTAGAAGAAGGTACAGGAGGAGAAGTTAGGCATTCTTGAGGAGTGTCTCGGCTCTGGTGTTGGCTTGCTTTATCCGCTCATCGTTGGAAGCGGCCTGCAAAAAGTCAAGAGAATTAGAAGGTTTTTGGTAGTCGGGTAATTCAGCTTCTTTGCATTAATAGGGTGGAGTTTAGCTGCTACACAAAATGCAATTCATCAAAGGTCAAACACTTACAAGCGCAGAAACTAAGAACATATCAGGCGATCCAGTGGACGAATGTGCAACCTCGCAGTCGTGTATTTAGTCATTAATACACAGATATATTTAAGTCTTCTAATAAATGAAATCTTTAATTTTAATGATATGGATCAATAAAATCACTAAGGAACTCAAATTTCGGAATTTTACAAGAGAGATCGGAGACAATGAACGATTTAAGATCGGCATAATCACGATAAAGGAGAGCAATCTCAAAACCACTAATTTCCAACTGATGAAAAATTCTACGATAGCATTTATACAGCAAAAATGTTAAAAACTTTTCATGTAATTACGTCATAGCCAACACAAAGCTTGTGACCACAGACTTGAGCTGATGATCTGGTCAAAGTCGGAGGGTGTTCACAGGAACAAATTTTATGTACAGAGTTCAGATTTGTTCAGTTACTGATTGTTCTGGATGAGCTCAAGATCTTGCACAATATTGAAAAATTTAGAAAGACCACAAAGCGGTATATATTTGTATATACAAGAGTAATACAAAGCAGTATTTGTATATACAGCCGTCACGTTCACACACTCCGTCTCCAGCGATATATGAAGCAGTGACTCACAGCGAGATATCTCGACTGTCCAGCTCGTTGAGGCAAATCGGGGCACAGACATAAAATGTATTTACAGTTTATGAATAACGTAAGTATTCAGCAATGTATTAAGTCGTGGGCTTCCGCTGTAACATTAATGAGTACTGATGTGACTTTCTCAAAATGAGTCACAGGATGAATAAAGAATGAAAAAAAACTTCGATTTCTTCGGTTGATTCTGACGATTTGTACATACTCATACCCTGTTTTTAGTTACAATTGACGTTAAGAAGACATAGATTTGATGGGGTTTTCATACACCAATATTTCTCCTATGGAGCATCCATCTTGTAGAAGGGATGTCACTCGGCGCAGGTTAAGGGAACCAAATACAAAACATCACACGTTGTTTGTTCCTTCACCTAAATACAAACCTCAATAGTTGATTGTTCTCTAATTGAGTACAAAACTTTTGACGACAAAAGCACCTGCAACTCTGATCTCTGGCAAGGGTATATTGTTGATTGAACATAGCACAGCCGGAATACCTTAAAGCACCTGTACAACACTGACCACCCTTTGCATTTCAAAACAAAGCACAGCTGCAACACCCCCAAACCACCTGTACAACACTGACCACCTCCCGCATTTAAAAAAATATATAACTCAGTACTCACTGCAGTGAGTGACAGAGAGTGCATTTTCTCAGAATCGTCGAAAACGTGAAGTCACGGACAGACGGACGGACGGACATGACGAGCACAATAGAGCATTTTTTCTATATATGAGAAAATGCGCTAAAAACAGCAGCTGCAACACCCCAAACCACCTGCTGCAGACAGACCACTGCGCTTCCAAAATCCTCACTAACACACAACAAACGTAATGCTCCTCTGAAGAAAGACAACAAACGAAGCAATAAAACAAACACTACTACTCTGCAATAATACTATGGAGGAGACGACGCCCCTACCAGGCAGCAGCTATTTGGTCTTGGGCGATGCAGGCTTCCTGATAAGGCAATTGGCGCGCGTGTTGGCCACTTGAATGCGACCTTCGTTAGACGCGCCCTGTGCCCATCAATTCCACAATATTTATCAACTCTTTGTTTAGTTTAGTGTTATTATTGTTATAAAGACGGTGAGCGGATAGAGTGCGCACAATTTCAGACAGTCCCACTGTCCCGGGATATGAAGCACATGATGATAATGTTGGGTAAGCGTAACACTTATTAATTAGCTAGTAAAATGTTCATATTATTTGTATAATAAATTATTATACAAATAATATTTGTATACCAAATTTATACTATGTTATTAGTATTGGGGAAGTCTATAACAGTGGCCGGAATACAGCCTGCAATATTGATGAATGCCAGCAACATATTTACGGTTCAATAATGCAGAAATAATCAACTTGATGCATCTAACAATGTACTGACAATTCTAAAGAGAGCACAGATACCGTTTAGATGTCGAGATTTGAATATTATTATTAATCATAGAAACAACACTTTTAAGGAATTAAATAGTTGATGCACATGCACATGAAAAAATGTAGGTCAAAGTTGCAAACCATTTATTGGAGGATCCACTAGAAAATCAACATAGCAAAAATTAAAGTTGAATAAAAATAAAATAAAAACAATACTTCAGATGAGAAATGTTGCATGAAGCAAAAAATTGTGAAAAAATGTAATAAATGAAACTTTAATTCAATTAAGTGTAACATGAAATTTCACGTTAAAAATTGAAATTTGAATTTAATTTTGTATGACATGAGCTCTATAATGTAAGATCAAGATAAATAATGGATAAAATAAGATATAAAATGAGACTTCTATACATAATTTGGAAGTTGACAATAAATTGAGTGTAAAATACCTTAGCATCAAGGCGGGAGATTTGTCTGTTCTGACTGTCCAACTCGCTGCCCATGTCGACGGCCATGTTGCGCAGGTTGTCGATCATGCTGCTCACCTGGCCCAGGTTTTCCTCCATCTCGTCTTCACGCGCGTCATTTGTGATCCTGCAAACAACTTATATCATTACATTCTGGCATACAATAAATATTATTAGTATTAGCATAGATATTAGTATTCTTGTATTGAAAGTATTGCTGTTTCAAGTATTGGTGATTGATTAGCAGTAATGTAAGGCAGTTATATACCTTGTCCTAGAGTCAACGTGTGTGTCACAGAGTTGTATTCTTGCATACATTGAATAAAGTTATTCTGATATGAGCTACAATAATATTACACTTAGACCTCTGTTACAATAATTGAACAATAATATAATAAAATAAAAAATACCTGATGGATGACATAACATATCTAACATTAAAAACATAACATTGCTTACATCAAACTTTTGCGTCCATAGTTTCAGCTTCAAGCAGTTAAGCCTCACCTTTGCAACTGCTTTTACTGCACGCGTCTGCCAAACTTACCAAAGAACAGAAACTGATAGAACTGGCAACTACTGCTTGTCTCAAAGTGATCGTCCATTTTGTACTCACCTACATCTATTATCAATATATGGGGTGATTTTCAATGTATGGGGTGATTTTCTATGTATGGGGTGATTTCCAATGTATGGGGTGATTTTCAATATATGGGGTAATTATCAATATATGATTCTGTGTGGCTTCAATTTTATTTGTTTTTAACCTTTCAGGGTGACAAGTTTTTACTTTTTATCAATACTTATTACTTCCAACTTTGATTACCGGTATTTTTCAATTTTATTTGTTTCTAACCTTTCAGGGTGACAAGTTTCAATTTTTTATCAATACTTATTACTTTCAACTTTGATTACCGGTATTTTTAAATTTTATTTGTTTCTAACCTTTCAGGGTGACAAGTTTCAATTTTTTATCAATACTTATTACTTTCAACTTTTGTTATTTTATGTCCTATAACTCTATAAGGATGACGCATTTATTTCCAGCCTATAATTATAATTAAAAAGTGTTATGGGTTACAAATTAACGTTATAGTTAAGGATCATGATGATATGGGAGCACCCACCGAGCAACCTGCATGGCACCAGAAGGGACTGCGTTGCGGTCCTGCAGGAGGCGACCAGGCTGCCCCTCCACCACACCATCCCCCTTGTCCTTCCAGGTGCTGTCCTCTTCACGAAACTCCCGCAGCCTGATCATTCAAGTTTTATTTGTATTATGTTGAAGTTTTATTAGTATTATGTTAAAGTTTTATTTGTATTATGTTGAAGTTTTATTAGTATTATGTTGAAGTTTTATTTGTATTGTGTTGACGTTTTATTTGAATTGTGTTGAAGTTTCATTTGTATTGTGTTGAACTTTTATGTATATTGTACTTGAGTTTTTGCATATATTACTGAAGACTTTTGCATAATCATGATTAATGGGACTTGGAAATTAAGAGAATTTAGATGCAAAGAAAATTAGAAGAAAATTATTACACGTCCCAATAAAAGCATTTCAGAGGTAATGCACTCATATTTGCATATTAAATATATTCACGAATTGAATTATCACTGTCTGAAATATAAAGAGATTGTTGAATTTACTTACAGCCACAAAAGAGAAGTAAAACTATAAAACTGGAGGCTTGAAAACCAGAAATATATTGTCATCAATATTTTGAGATAACCATATGTTAACAAATTGAGGTCATAATTTTTACTAAATAAAAATAATAAAGATGCCATAATTTTTTACAAACATGTGTTTACATATCCAGTCAATAAGTTAAACTAAAATATATTGCAATAGTTTGGCAGAAGTTCTTTTTTTATGCAAGAAAATAATTAATAAGAAGCATTCTCTGGACTATAATAAATACATACTTTTTCCATGGCAGAGAAAATATCCCACAACATTTCTCCATGCCAGAGAGATTCTTCTCGGCTTCCTTCATGTCAGCATTGATTTGGTCCATACCTTCCTCAATGCGATCCAGTTGTTCTGGCAGGGAGGAGATTATACATTATCTCACAAAGATCACATATAATCATACAAAGATCATACATAATCATACAAAGATCTTACATAATCATACAAAGATCATTCATAATCGCACAAAGATCATATGTAATCATACAAAGATCATATGTAATCATACAAAGATCATACATACATATAAAGATCATTCATAATCATAGTTCCTCAGCAGAAATTTTTTTAGACTTTTAATTTTTGAGTCCTATGAGTAGACCATTCAGTATCATGGAAACTAGCATTATCATACATAAGATTTTGAAATAAATTTTGAACTAAACTAGTGAGTTAAAAATCAACCGGTTTCAAAAAAGTATTACATTTGCATGTATGGACTCAAGTACAACCCTGAAATTGTTAAATACTCAGCATCTAATGTGGATAAATGTAATCCAAATGCATGCTGTCACAAAAAAATGTTAGTAACAGGAGGTGAAGACGTAGTGTTTAGTAATAGCTTATACAACAAGTTACTCTTATCACTCCCTTACGATTCCATTCTATTATGATTGACATCATTCAAAAATCGTATGAGAAGTGTCAACAAAGAGCATTGTATAATTTTCCCTAATATATCATAGGAAAGCAAGCAGCAACAACATGAAACTTACAATAAATTCAACTGAACACTATGGAAAATTGTCAATTATTATCTCAATTTTTTTTTAACATGAGATATCAATTTTTGCAAAATTTGGGAGGCAGACATAAAGAACGGAGAAAAATAAGAATACACTTACCTACCTAATCATCAATGAAAACTTAAAACACCTGCAAAACTTTGTTAAGCAGGAGAGGTTGCTGAGCATGAAAATGTGCACAAGCAGCTGTAACACAACATGGGTTGATGAGCATGCAGTTAACTTGCAGATACAAAAAGCTTAATAAAGCTAATAAAAACTTTACAACTTGACTAAGCTCTGAGAATGAAGGCATGCATAATAAAACTGTGACAAGACAGGCAGTAGAGCATGAAGGCATGCATAAGAAACTGTGACACAAGACAGGCAGTAGAACATGAAGGCATGCATAATAAAACTGTGACACAAGACAGGCAGTAGAACATGAAGGCATGCATAATAAAACTGTCACATGACAGGCAGTAGAACATGAAGGCATGCATAATAAAACTGTCACATGACAGGCAGTAGAGCATGAAGGCATGCATAAGAAACTGTGATACAAGACAGGCAGTAGAACATGAAGGCATGCATAATAAAACTGCGACACAAGACAGGCAGTAGAGCATGAAGGCATGCATAATAAAACTGTGACACAAGACAGGCAGTAGAACATGAAGGCATGCATAAGAAACTATGATACAACACAGAAAATCAAGAATCCCAGATAATTTGGTCAACCAAATCAAATAATTACAACTTACACCCAAAGTTAATTTACCTCAGTTTTGGAATCACTATTTCAAATGATTGAGTTAAATTTAAACAGCAAAGTAAGGAACAAACTCAACAAACTGCCACATAATGAGCCCACAAAAAAAAGTAAATTAAAAAATTTAATAGAAAACTCTATATCTTTCTTCTTGTTCAATTTTAAGGGATCATGGCCCACTAAAGAACAGAACACATGTATGTTTGTCTGTAATACTCTTTTTGCTATAAGTATATGGAAACTTGCTCTCAGTTTGAATAAAAAGCAATAAAAATGAATTTGCTTGTTAAAGTGAGGACCACTCACCACTGAACTCTTATTTGAATATGAACTGCAATAATTGAAGTCAGAAATGTCCATTTTGGGGTAGAGGCATGATGCAATAACAAGTATGTTTTAGTTTGTACATACAAGTTTCAAGCCCCAAAAGAAGGCACTTCGAAACATTAAATGAAAGTCTGGAAAAATCAGTAGAGTAAACAAGAGATTGTAGAAATATGATTCTTAGCAATGAAATGGGATTGTTTTTATGTATGTCATGCATAGACTGCACATTTCTCCACAAAAATGTGCCCTTATTTGCTTGCATTGTAAGTGTAAATCATACAGTAAGTCTTAGCACCAACACAGTTAGAACTGTATTGCTGTTTAGTGAGCACTTTACTGATGAAAATCTTACCCCCTTGTTCTCCAAGCATCACTAAAGTCTTCGCTCCAGCATCTTGGCTCTAAATGAGGATAAAGTATTATATTAAATAGGCTGCAAACATTAATATGTTCATTGCATACACACATACATCATTCTAACAAAATTTACATAATTACAAACACAAAAATTTGAGGTCAGTTGCCAATGTGGGAGAGGTCCAGGCCTAGTAAGGATTCAGAGAGATATGAAACTATGAACAGAACTACAAGTGAAACAGCAAAATGGTATGATTACTAAATGAAGAAACAAAACCAAACTTTGTTAACTCCATAAAAACTTTGATTGATGACTAAAGAAACATGATTTTTTGCATAAGTGTTGTGTGAGATGGGTATTAATGGTCTAACTTTCCTTTTGTGCAGACTCACATATTGCAAAATGAGATCTTGCATCAATGTTAGAAACAATACAAAAGTGTATCCAAATTTTTGAAAAAAATGTAAATGCAACAATGGAATTTTATATAACTAACAAAACTGTTAAGGAAATATTCTGTCGTTTATTCCATTGGCAATACAACCTTCAAAAGATAGAATGGAAAGAGGAAAATTTCAAAATAATACTGATATAAGGTATGAAAACCAATATTCTGACTACGATAAATTGAATGATGAAAGAACAGCCAAGAGGTAAAATTTTTACATACACAATTGTTTCAACAATGAGATAAAACTGAAGGAAGTCAATCAAACTAGTTTGCCAATAACAACTTCACACAATGGGATCAACACAATTTAAAAATTATACCTTCAATGATCATTGCCCACTTCACAGGCAATGTACACCATTTAAGCTCAACAAGCATAACAGATAAACAAGAAATAATTCCATCAAGTGAATATGCTGCCTCACCTCCCTGCTCGTCTAGACCAACAAGGCTACGAATGCCTCCTTCCTTGGCCTGAGTTTGCAGCATGGAAGTAAACACAAGAGCTTGCATTCTTATCATGTCATGAAAACCTTCCATGTCATCACATTGTAATACTGCATCACCATGCATGATCATATATAATAACAAAACAGCAAAACTACACTTAACAATAATAACCCTAAAGGCTTTCAAGCTGGTCATAGTTGAAGCTAAAATTTAAATGCAACAAATAATGATGCCACAATGAAGCTGCAAGTGTATGGTGAAGTTCCATAAGGTGCTCTGATAATGAGCAGCATTATTAACACTGAAACACTACAAACTGAACAGGATTGATAATGTTAATCCATAAATCTGTTTGTGATTTTAAAAAATGCTTTTAAAACATAATCTCAATAGAGCCAGTCAAGATGATTTGTTGAATTTATGATATTGATTTGCACAATTTCATATAAGATAATAAACAGGATGATTATTGCATAGTTATAAAAAAATTAGAAAAACCTATAAATACATATTATTAATTAAAGTAAATGAAATATCATTTATTACATGCATTACTATCAAGATATAAATCAGATGTTAGCAAATAGATAAATCAATTATTTCTTTAAATATTTTGAACACCAAACCTTAATAATACAGAAAAAGTGGCATTATGACAAACGCCAACCATGAAACATACATTAATGCATCAAGCTCTCGTCCATTAATATGCAACACAATTCAGTAAAGTTAGTGCAAATTCTCAAACCAAGAATTTTGCTCAACTAAAAATTTCAGCTCCTCAGACTGAGGAGATATTATCTACATTATAGTGACAATTAAGCAGTTTTTAGACTCATTTCATTTGTAATTGTCTGGTCTAATTCAAAATTTTGTTCAATATCCTAAGGCACTAATTACAGCAGGCCCATGCTGTCATAAGGAAGGACAACAAAAAAATGACTAAAAACAAAGGACAACAAATTCCCTACAACGAAAAAAACTTGTCATAGGGAAGGACAACAAAAAAACTTTCTTGTTTGCTACTGCGACTGATGCAGAGTAGCATAACCAAGTGGTCATCACAGTTACTGGACTCACCTCCTCACAGAGACTCAGCATGCGACGTGTGGACTCGAGGGAGTCATCAGTGACCTTGTTGGCCTGGTGCTGAAGCTGCTCCACCTCTGTACGGGTCCCCATAGCCTGTACCTCATTCTTATTAATTTACACAGTAATGACAAGAAATATATACACAATGTGAAATCATATTACAGATGAGCTCATTATGTGTCAAATGTAGTATCATAATGTGAATGGGCAGTCACAAAACATCTCATTGAACATGAAGCATTTATGTACTCTTGATGCACCAGTCAAAATCCAGCAATTAAATGCACAGATTCTTTACACAGGAACCATTTTCTTGGGAAAAATTTTTCATCTACTACAGAAAACCTTTCCTCCAAATAAATGAAGTGTACAAGTAATTAGAGTAATTATGATTCTTACCTTCATTTCAAATGGTAAATATTGACAGCAACTTGGGGTCCAGCTATGAAAATAAAATCAAGGATTACATGTATATTACAAAGACATTCATATATATTTGTATATTTTTTTGAGTTTATCAACTCCAATAACACTGAAAAGCAAAGCATTGAAAGTTACAATTTAATTCTCTTATTTCAAATACAGAGGAAACTCATGTGGCAAACACTTTAACAAAGGAGTTGGATAATAACCAATGAATAAGTATGAAAAAAAATTTTGAAAAGCAATGAATGCCATGCTTTATATGCATCTTTGAGCCTCTTATTACAAGCTAACTAAATTATTTCGTTTTAATAATTTTTCTGAGCAAATTTACACTAACAAAACATCTTCCCATGAAAACAATTTGGTTTTTACCTAAAGTTAAAATGTAACTGAATATTCAGATTTACAAAAGATAAATATAAAATTGACTGATGAATGTCTAAGTATTTGGGGCTATATGATTCATACAAGCATTGCTCAAACTTAAAGTAGCTTCAATATTCCTTGCTGTTGAAATGTTACAACTCTGTTAAACTTTCAATTGGCTACATAGGTAACATTTGTGAGTGGTGCAATAGAGCAATTCTCAATTATAGTATTTCAATACTTCTCATGAGCTAATTCATAAATTCACTTCCTCAACTCAATTAGAAAAATAGAATTTATTTTTAATTCAAATAAAATGAAGAAATTCAAATGGAGTGTTTTTCATCATCTTTTGCTCCAGTGAAGAGCCAGGATAAGTCTGGCTTTACTGGAATTAATTGGCTAGGAGAGCCCAGGGATTGCCTTGTCCCTTAGATGCCGAGTCTCAATACTTCTTAGCTAATTAGTTGTTGTTGTTAATATAATATAAATTAGTCGCCCATTGCAGGGGGGGCAAATGAGAATGACAAGAAAGCAACTAATATGTGAATACCGTAGTTCTGTGATACCTTTATTGCTTGGATTGTGAAATTACAAGGAATACAAAAAATAATCACAAATTGAGAAGGAATTTAAAAGCAAATGACCTGAAGATGATAATTTATGTCAATCATGTTATGATCACAGCTTAAATTAAATTTCACTGAGAGAAGCAATTCATTTCAGCATGTGATTTTGCTGCAGAATTCAATATCGAACATGCCTTCTTTTGCTAATCTCCAGTATGAGGTAGTTTAATAGTCCTTTATGCATTAATCATTTCACGAGGTCAAAACGAATAAAAAAAATTAAAAATCAAAATAAACAAACCATAGCAGTAACATAGCATTTTGGCAACACCAATAAGAACTAGCATCAATTTGTTGCCACATGTTCATGACATAAATTCATAGAAAAAATGAACAATAAAAGCAAGAACTATGAGTATTGAGAGACCAGCATCTTCCTGAGGCTTGTGGATAAAAGAAAAGGCTCTGTCCAAAAATTTTGTATTTACTACCTCATGATTTTGCAGCATCACTCATTTGTAGGTAAACAACTTATTTTGAACAGATATATATTCATTGAAAAGGTTTATAATTATAGGTGCATATTCAGTGTGACTAGTCCACAGATAAAAAATTCAATTTTCCTGACATTATCTAAGGTCCACATCTGTTTCTTGTTAAATTACCAAGTATTTTGGCTTACATAGATAAGAACTTGACACGCTTTAATAAAATTTACATGAGGGCTTCAATTTAATAGATCATGTGCTAAAAAATGCATACAAAGAAAATAATGGAAGTGTATAGTGTAATAATGGAAGTGTATACAAATAAGCAAAAGTAAATAGTAAAAAAGAAAAAACAAAGTGACAATGAATGCCAAAGTGGAACAAACTTCTTGAACACGGGTGTAGTTCATTTAGTTCAAAATAAAATATTAGGACCTTGACCTTTCCAATTACCAAAGGGAAAACCCTAACTTCTGATGAATTTTTCCAATAGTATTTTGAGCTCTAATTTGAGCTTTCTTTGCTCCCCATTCTAAGATTTGTAGCAAACCTTCTGGTTCTTTCAATAGTAAATCCGCTTTTTCCTTAATGGGAGCCATGTGCTCTGCCACAGCATTTCCAACAATGTTTTTATATTCATCAATGGACTCATTTGCATACTTCTTGTTCAGTGATTCTAAATCAATTCCAGACACAACACTGTGGATGGACATCAAGTTGGCAACTGCAGCCTGACTATCCTCAGGGGTACATGCAATATTTCCATAGTATTCTGCTGTGTAAGCAGAATTTACTTTGTGCCTGATAAGATCAGGAGAATCTAAGATTTCAATTCTGCTATTAGGATTCACATCTGACTTTGACATTTTTTTGTTAGGCTGACACAGGCTTTTAACTCTGGCAAGAGAATCATCCAAGATGATGGCTTGGGGTAGTCTTAAGATGTCCTTCCCATACTTGGCATTGAACTGCCTTGCAATCTGCCTGGCCAGTTGAATGTGTTGCTTCTGGTCATCCCCTACTGGCACATGTGTTGTTTCATACAAGAGAATATCAGCAGCTTGAAGTACTGGGTATGAAAAAAGGCCTAAAGATGGCACGTGCTTCAAAGTCTTCAACTTATCTTTGTAGTGAGCCTGGCGAGCCAATAAAGCAGTGTGAGCAACAGACCTGAGTAGCACGTTGAGCTCACTATGCTCAGGAACATGACTTTGCTGGAATAATATGGATTTTTCTGGATCAATCCCACATGCAATTAAAGAAGCTGCCATAGTAAGAGTATTATGAAGGAGATCACATCTTTTTTGTGACACAGTGATTGCATGTTGATCAACAATGCTCAAGACTACATCATGACCAGCATTTTGTAAGCTAACCCACTGCTTCACAGCTCCAAAATAATTGCCCAAATGTAATACACCAGTGGGCTGAATACCGGAAAAAATATGCTTACAATTCTTGTATTTTAGTGGACTATTTCCAGGAAGCACCTTGAAAGATAGATTAAAATTACTTGGAATTGGTGTCACACTATTGTTTTTTCTGTCAGAGAAGCCAATTGTTTCATAGACATCATTGAGAGTCTCCTGAGCAACAGTGTTAGCCTCTGACATCCCACTCTTCAGAACCGAGCAAAGATTGTTTTCATCAGCAAGGTATGTCTCTGCCCTGTCTCGAATAGGACTTAAAAACAAGTTTAAAGAATCAGCAACAATAAATTTATATTGAGCAGATTCCAATGCTCTGTTCTCCATTTCAATTGTATCCCAACCTTTACCACTAACCAAATTGTGTAAAACCATTAAATTAGAAACACCAGGACGATTGATATAATCAAAGTAAACAGCTGAGGTACAGTCAGTTACTGCTTTCTTTAATTTAGCTGTTACAGTCTCTGCATCATCAAGCAAGTTAATTCTGCTCAGAGCATCACTGTTTGACCTAGACATTTTCTCCACTGGTTGCCTTAGGCTCCGAATACATGAGGAGTAGCCTTCATCAACACAAGCTTCAGGTAGAGTAAAGCATTCACCATGTTTTTCATTGAAATTTTGGCCTATGTTTTGAATCATTTGTACCATGTTGAGAGTATCACTGCCAATAGGCATTATATTAGCCCGGTAGAGTAAGGCATTTGCACATGACAGCACTGGTGAAACATATTGGCCTAAAGTTATGTCTTTGCATCTTGATAATTTCAATGCATGGCAAGGCAATTTCCTTGGTTCTTTTTCATTCACAAGGCATTGTAGAATCCAGTCCAGCTGAGAATGTGCTGGAATTTTGCTCTGTTGAAATATCACACTTTTACTGGGGTCTATTCCAACAGCTAAAACAGTAGCCACAGTCAACATAATTGACTTTTTCAAGTTCATTTCATTTTCAAAGTTTTCCAAAGCATGGATATCAGTAATGCAAAGAAACACTTTAGTGCCTTCATCTTGCAGTTGAACACACTTTTGAAGAGCTCCAAAATAGTTTCCAACATGCAACATTCCAGGCTTGATAGGGAAGAATGCAACCGTCTTCTTGCTAGATGAGTAGTTGGAGTTGAACTTGATATGTGACATAAATGGAGGACTAGAACAATTTATGCCAATAGCAAATTGTAGAGAATGAAAACCACCACCTTGAAATTTTAGGCTAGAATGATTCAACATAAATCTGCTTTTACTAATTAAAAAAGCCTTCATTGTGACAGGCAACCTGAAAAGATATTAGAAGTCAAAATGAATGTCAGAACAAAATCAACTCATAGAAACATGAATAATAGATCAAAGAATCAAACCCTGAAATAAGGAAAAGAATACAAATAACTTCTAATATAAGAAATAATACAAGAATACCAATTTATCTAATAATAATTTTTAAGCCAATCCTAGTAATTCTAAGCAGACTTTTAAATAAAAGCAACTATGGTTGGTTCAGCCCTGCATATTAAATGCATGCAAGCATTACTCCTGCTAATTTTGTACACCTTAGACCCGCTGACTAGCAAGTTTTTGAGGTACTCCCATATTCAATTATATAAATGCTTTCATAAAATTATCATATGTGCATACACTACTTCAATATTGTCTTCAGATAATTCAATTACTAACTGGCACACTTCTAATATGGATGAATACTTTTATGCATGTTAGAATATTGGAAATAAAATTCCTCAAATAAGCAGTACAAATTCCAAAATCTTAAATTGGATTGCAAAATTTAGATAATGTTCTATTGCTAATACGCAAAATTGTTCAGGTGAATGTGTAAGTTATACTCCCAATGTCTTTCTACTTATATTTATCTGTATAAAATCTAAAGCCCTAATATACCATATCTTAATAAAAACATTACATATATAAAATTCTATCTAACTTCTAAAACAAGGAGTTCTCAATGTAACAATTTGTGAGATTTCTTTCTAAAATAACGGGGCTACTCAGGACACTTGGAATAAAACTTCATTTTAAAATATTTGAAGCATGCAGAGTGTACTCATCCATTACTAACAGTACTCTGAAGTCATTATGTAGTTTGATAAAAGTGAGCAGTAGATATGGCAGCGATCTTGACCAGTTGAAGGCTAACAAGTAACTAGAGCACCGGCATGGCGCACTTACTGGCGAACGTTGCCGAACTCGACCATTCGAGTTATGAACGAGACAAGGCGCGGTTAAACCGACTGTAGTCAGAATGAGTGCCTACGGAACGGGACCTTATTTGAAGAATTATTGGTTGAAATTCATAAAGTAACAACATTTGGCGAATTTTTCCAAAAGTCGTAACAAAAGTAACAACATAAGATCTAATAAGCAAAAAGTAACACTTTGGTTACGAACGTAACACCTCTGGCTAGAGGCGGGAAAATGATGCGCTGTGAAAAAAAAGCCACGCTAATCAAAACTGGCACTGCGTAGATTAAGGGTAGGTCGCAAATTTTTTTTCAGCGTTAATTAAAACCGCGGTATTCAAAACCGTGCTAATCAAGGGATTGCTGTATTCCAATTAGTTTTGCTACTAAAACAATTTTACGGCATGTCGGAGGACTGTCCCAAGTTACCCCGCCCGTCCCGAGCAGCCCCGGTTGATGGTATGTATCATGCTGGTTTATATAATATTTTAGTACTATTAAGTAAAATCTAAAGGCATTATCTGTACATGTAGTGGTAGTGCTGTAGCAGTAAAACCTCTTATCACTACTTAAATATGTAGCAGGTGCTACTGCTACTGAAAATGTAGTGTGCTCCTGCCCACCTCTGCCTGCATCTTGCTACCGTAAAATGGGGTAACTTTGACCACTTTTTTTTTCAAAATGATGCCATTTTTTTACTGGATAAGTTAAACTTAAATTGAAACATGCAAAATACAGGTCTATACTCTAGCTTTACTCACCATAAATTGCTGGCTCCTGCCTCTCATAGCTATGATTACCGATGATGCACTAATTTTTCGATAAGTGAAATTTTTTTCACTGAGCGAGGTGAATGTAATCAATATTCTTTGTTTTTAATCGATTTTTCCTTAACTGGAGCCTTTGCTAACTTCTACTGTAAATGCATTTTCGGGGTGTCCCGAGTAGCCCCGCCGTGCGGAAATGGCCACCATATTTTTGGGATTGAGGTATGCAAATTCTGCAAATAAAGCTTTCATGCTGACACTTGTCTGCCACTTTTTTCCAAGCCAATTTTTTTAATACGGCAAATATTTTTACTACAGACCTTAGCAGAAGTAACTTTTCAAAATATTGTTTTTACTATTTTTTCAGGTATTTTTCAAAGCTAGTAAATGTGGTATTTTCAAACTTCCTTTATACTATATAGATAGGAAAAATCTTGACTTTATGCCACTATATTTAGTTTTGCAATATTTCAATTAGTTTTGCTACTAAAACAATTTTACGGTATGTCAGAGGACTGTCCCAAGTTACCCCGCCCGTCCCGAGTAGCCCCGATTGATGGTATGTATCTTATATATTTTAATACTATTAAGTAAAATCTAAAGGCATTATCTGTACATGTAGTGGTAGTGCTGTAGCAGTAAAACCTCTTATCACTACTTAAATATGTAGCGGGTGCTACTGCTACTGAAAATGTAGCGTGCTCCTGCCCACCTCTGCCTGCATCTTGCTACTTCATTCTCCAGTGAATCTGAATCTAAAGAAGACTGTGGATCAAGAAGAATCAATATGCTAGAAATCAGTTTTGAAAACAAATTTGAAGAAGAAAATGAATCAATCATGATTGAAATCAACAGACTGGACGGTGAGAACCTGGCTCTCAAATCTCAACTTGGACCCTGGCCTCTCAACTTGGACCCAGGCCTCTCAATCTGGACCGTGGCCTCTCAATCTGGACCCTTGTCTCTCAATCTTGACCCTGGCCTCTTAATCTCGACCCTGGTCTCTCAATCTTGACCCTGGTCTCTCAATCTTGACCCTGGTCTCTCAATCTTGACCTTGGCCTCTCAATCACAATCCTGGCCTCTCAACATGGACTTTGGCCTCTCAGACTGGACCCTGGTTTTTCAACCTGGACCCTGCCCCCTGGCCTCTCTGCCTGCACATTAGCTTCACAACCTTGGCCCTGGTGTTTCAACCTCCCAACATGGCTGCCGGTACTGATATTATAATGCATTGTCAACATTGCTTTGACATTTCAATAAGGCTGCACATAGTACCTATCAAAGCAGAGAGATTTTTTTAGACTCTCCCTCAAGTTCACTTTAAAGTCTTATAAGTAGTACCTAAGTAGACCAGTAAAGTATCCGGAATAGAAGCATAATCATAAATAAGAAATTGGTTTAAATCTTTATTAAATAAGGATTTTAAAAATCGACTGATTCTAAGAAATCCGTATCTTATCACTATGATGAGGAACACCTGAAATCTGCTGAAATTCCTATACCAACACCAGGGCAAAACCCTAATAGGCAATTTTTGCCTTTCATTTAATTTTTGGAAGAGCTGGTTGATGCTGCTTGGACAACCCTCCATTGTTACTGGTCCTGGACAGGCATGGAATATATCTACTTGGCAAGTGACAACTGGATTTTTTGAACCGTGGTTTTAAGGGTTTGCCAGCCGTGATTCCATTTCTTTGAGTTGTGAATTCCATATCTTGGCCATAAAAAGCCATTTATGGGCCACAAACTTATTATTTAAAGTCCCATTCATGTGTAACCCCACATCTCCAATTTTACCCTAAAAACAGTCACTAACATTCGTCTTCACTTAAGCGGCAACTGAAAAAGTGATACTGCAGTCTGACCAGCAACCACAACCACGCAATCATCAAGGAAATATTTTGAATAGAATTGTTGTTGATGTTATTACATTCTGCAAGTTATTTTGGAAGGAGGCAGGAGCATTGAAGTATATACTGTCAACCTGGGGCTACTCGGGATGGTTTTGAGCGTTTTTTGTTAATAACTTCTTACCATGAAACATTTCATAAACAAATTTAGGCTCATTTTATAGCTCTTTGCAAGGGCTATCGAATGGCATCTTCAAAAAAATTCCATATGCTATTCGTAAGGTGCCAGAAGCAAAAAAAAGAGTCCCGAGTAGCCCCGTTGAACAGGGCTACTCGGGACACTTGGAATAAAACTTCATTTTAAAATATTTGAAGCATGCAGAGTGTACTCATCCATTACTAACAGTACTCTGAAGCTCTCCTCCTTCATTGCAGATGATGTAGAGGTAGAATAAATGACATTTTCTGTGATTTTTACTTGTTTTTCCTTTATTGATATATTACCATAAACATTAATTACCGTCAACTGGGGTGACTTTGGCCACATTTTTTATTTTGTTTTGCAAAAAAATGGGTCATAAACGCCAGGGTCATAAACCCCAGGGTTGTAAACAAGGTCATAAACGCCGGAGGGACTTTGGCTATCGTTTATGACCCCGCTTTTGTTTGCAAAACAATCAAAAACGCAGCTGAAGTCACTGGGTGGCCAAAGTCACCACAGTTGACAGTACCCTATTATTGATGGGATATTACTGTATTATTGATGCAACATTACCATATCCATGAACATGCCATTGAGCATTTACAACAACCTTGTCCACTGCAAGCTTCATATCAGCAGCTTTATAGCATTTTTTCTGTATCTGTAAGCTTACAGGACGGCTTGTAATTTCACACCATTTTGATTGGGTTGAGTGAATTTACTATAAAAANTACACATCTAGATGTGTATAAGAGACAGGTCCCGAGTTACCCCGCCCATCCCGAGTAGCCCCAGGCGACGGTATACTGCTGATTGTGAAAGTTATAAAATTTTATGCAATGACATGTTTGCAAAGAAGTGCACACTGCAATGTTTTCAAATAAAAACAAAAAATTATGATATTAGAGCCACAAAATTTCATACCTACTGGAGTTATATGATATTAGAGCTGCAATATTTCAGAAAAAATAGGACTTTTCCAGCCCTGGTCCTGGTACTCCTGGACAAAGTCCTGATTCCTGAATAACAACAAACCTCATGAAGCGAAAGAAGTCACTAGGCTATCAATTGAAGAATATTTCAAGACATATATTGATGACAATGGTCTTGATTCTTGAACAATAAGTAGGTATGTGCACAAAGTAGGCACAAATGCAAACAATGCTGGCAAAATGGCGGACAGCTACTTTCCGCATTGGCACACGTAAGGTATTTAATTTTTAAAGTTCCACCCAAATGTTTGCTTATTTTGATTGACTTGTGTTTGGAAATGAAGTTACAAACTAAAAAAACTTGAACTATGATGACACCATTTTTTTTCAAGAAATGTCTACCTGCTTAGTTG